TTTGCTTACTCCAATATTTTCCCATTTACCGGTATCGAGTACTGATGAAAAAGGAAGAGGCTTTAATGAAAACTTGGCTTGCTTTTTTCTGCAGTATAAACGTATATAGCAACAATTTTTGAGTGGTCAACTAACTTATCTAAATAAGAATCACTTAAAAATTCAGTAAAAATCTTATTTTTATTGAAAAAATCAGTAAAAATAATGTTCAATGATGTTTAAAAAAAGTGTCTCCAAAATGAAGGAAATGCCGTAGTTCTATAATACCAAACGTTGCGACGTTCTATAATATCAAAATTCGGCGCTCTGCATTGTAATATTGTGAGATTTTCTCTCCTTTATTGCTTAGTCATGTTACTTTGATACAGATCTTTACTTAATTATAATATACGTAGTATGACGTACGAAATACTAATAATTTACATAATAACTATACTACACCTCTCCCCAAGGTAATTAAATATTTTTTTTTCAATTTTGTATCTATAAGTTCGTATATGAAAATAGTAATTGTTTCTTCTAAAGCTAAATAGCTTTTATCCCTAAATTAACTTTCAACTTCTCCGTAAGGAATAGGGGCTTTTCTTGTACGCAAAGGATACCGCCGCTCTTTTTCCTTTATACTTTCCTCAATGGGCTCTTCTAGACATTTTCCATTTTCTATCTTCTTGAAAAATGACGAATTACGAGTAAACAACATTCTATATTTCTTCGCTGTTACCATTGAACCTTTTCTTTCCACGACTTTACACGGCTTACCATCATAGGGTGTTTGTTGTTGATTAGTGGTCGTATCTTTCTTTACTAACACAATATCACCTATTTTAATTTCACTTGTCTTTACGTTCCTGTTATTGTCTGCATGTAATTTCATTTTCAATTTTGCTCTTTCATCCTGTACTCGAATTCTTTCCTCTGTATCTTCATGAAATGGTTCTTCAGGTAAACGTACTTTCATTGGTCGACCGAATAAAGCCATAGATGGAGTGATTGTGGTCGAACTATGAGGTGTGGCACGATAATTTCGCAGGATCCTGTGGATTTCTTGCTTCCAATATTTCCCCTCCACTATCGCAGCCTTTATTGTCTTCTTGATAGTACGCATAAGTCTTTCCACTTCCCCGTTGGCTCGTGGCCAATAAGGAGTAACTTTTCTGTGTTTAAATCCCAAATAATTTGAAAATTCGTAAAATTCCTTGCTATTGAATGGCGGTCCATTGTCTGAACGTATCGTATCTGGTATCCCGAAATCCGAAAGAATCTTATCCAAACAGGGTATAACAGTCGTTGCGGCCGTTGATCGGATTACTTCTACAATGGGATATCTGGAAAAATCATCATACAAAACAAACAAATATTCACCTGTGCCTGTAAGAGCTACACCAAAGTCCATACTTAGTTCTTTCCAAGGAGATCTTGGCTACTCTGACATTTTCAATGGTTCCTTTTTCCTGACTGGAGTTGTAATCTGACAGGGTAAACACGATTTAACTTTTCCATTAACTAATTCATCTATACGTGGAAACCGTACCTTTTCACGTAATAACGTTTTCGTTTTTGACATTCCCATTTCACCTTCATGAGCAATGTTCACTACTTTCTCTCGTAAATTTTCTGGTATGATTATTTGATGTTTTCGTTGAATTATACCCGAAGATATGCAAAGTTCATCTTTAATTTTCTCATATGAAATATAATGCTTAATTTACTCCTACCATCTTTGAACTCTCAAACCATCTACCTGTTTCAATGGCTCGGATTACTGCTCGAAGAGTAATGTCTTCTCTTGTAGCTTCTTCCAGATCTTTCCTGCTGATTGTTTTTGGGACCGAGTTCTGTGTAACGTAATTAACAAATTCTTCTGCTACTTTCTCTTGACGGTTGTTTAGTTTCTCATCAGATAAGGGATGACGTGAGAGAAAATCTGCAGGATTTTCAGTTCCAGGTTGAAAACAGATTTCAAAATCATATGGTTGCATTCGCAAGGCCCATTGTTCTAATCTCGCAGATGGCTTTGATGATGGATTTGTGTATATTTTCACCAACGGCTTGTGATCAGTGACGATGGTGAATTTTCCTCGAAACAAATATAAATGAAAATATTCGCAGGCCCATACTATAGCTAAAGCTTCTCTTTCCAAGGAAGAATAATTTTTCTCTGTGGTAGTTAGTGATTTACTAGCGTAAGCAATTATTTTCCTTTTTTCTTCTCCCTTTTTCCTTTGCGCCAAGACTGCTGCGATACCAACTGGACTAGCATCTGTGAAAACCTCCGTATCACTATCCGGATCGAAACACGCACTTTCTGGACCATCTGTTAATGCTTTCCGTAGGGCTTTCATTGTGTCTTCTTGTTCTCTTGTCCACATGAATGGGGCATCTTTCTTGATAAGTCGACGTAACGGCTCTGTAATTGTGGCATAATGTGGAATAAATCGACAGCAAAAATTGGTCATGCTAACAAACTTCGTACTTCTCCTACATCTTTAGGATTTATGCATTCCTTAATTGCTCTAACTTTATTGGGATCCGTCACAATACCATTCTCTGAGAACACATGCCCTTGGAATATTAAACTTCTTTTCTTAAACAGACATTTCTCCTTCTTAAGAGTTAGTCCTCGATCTTTAATTCGTTGTAATACCGCGTTCAAATTTGCATCGTGATCTTTCCATTTACGCCAAACACTATAATGTCATCACTAATATTAATCACGCCTCTCAGTCCACTCAACGTTTCTCTGAAGGCATTTTGGAATATCTCTGCAGCACAGTTTATTCCAAAATTCAAACGTCGAAATCTCCGTAGAACAATGTGTGTTACAAAGGTTGTCAAATATCTTGATTCTGCATCGAGCTCTAACTGGTTATAGCCTTGATTTAAGTCCAATTTTCTAAACCATACAGCACCATTTAGATCACTTATAATGGTCTGTTTCCATGTTACCATAAGAATATTTAATTTGCATTTTCTAAGTTGAAATAAGAAAGTGCGTTTCAGTATAAAAATGAAAAAAAAATCATTCTTTGAGCCAATAAATCTTTGTTTGGTCAGATGGTTTTGATATGCAATAACCGCCATCTTGAGATGAAAGATTTCTTTTGCCATTCATTTGGTCCCCTTCCAAGGTCATTATTAAGTTCAGATGGCTGATTGAGAAAAAAGACCAAGGCATTACTTGCAAAAGATCTACAGAAAATATACCTGTTTCCGAAGAGATTCATTAACCTTTGCTGTATCATAGATTGCAAAAAGCTTTTTAGATATAGAGGATTCTCTTCACAACGAAATTTTACATGAAGGATCATTCACTTCAAGAATTGTGTTATCTTTGACGATTAACAAAAAATATGTACGAAGAATGCAAAGAGAGAGAGCAAGCAGCCCAGGTCACAACAGACGAGTTTAAGAACATTTAAGTGCGTTCACAAATCACATAAATGGAGAAATTTCTTACTAAATCCCAAAAATAATAAAGCCCTAACGATCTTTTTGAGCGAAGAGTAGAGAACATAAAAGTGGATAAATATAGGAAAAGCTAGAAAGTAAGTTTTTGTACGTAGCCTGCAAAGAGAAGTGTTACAAGATCTCAGCAAATGATACCCATGTTGTTGAAGAAAATCGTGCCGCGGAACAGTAATTGTTGTATCAGAATTTGCACAGATTTGTTAATGCTGTGTTTTTGCCATTTAATCATGTAATTATTTCATGTATATTTGATAAAAGTGGAACAACAACAAGAATCAAGTTTATCAACATCTCAAATTGTCTTAAGCCATTGATCCAGATCTTTGTCCAAGCTTGCTTGGTATACATGCTTGTATACTATATGTGATACAGTCAGGGCTTGGCCGGTGGAGGAAAGTCGGAGCGATACGGCTTTTATAACAGAACAAACAATTTTAAGAGATAATTGAACTTCGTAGACCTATCAGAAGAGTTATTCAAGAAACTTCAATCTTTCACCTACAATATTTTTTGCAGTCGTCCAGAGAGACTTCAGATATCAATGTGTTTCGTTAAAGACTTTTTTGGAATCAAAAGAGAAAGTATCGACTCTTGCAAAATACAGCCTTGTATAGATTGCTTGTACAAGAATTACGCCGAACAAATTACAAGACAGCTGTCTGAAAACGCACTTTAGAACGGTTTCCACAAATTCCATGTGCAGTTGTATCTGGCTAGTATTATGAAAACGGCTAAGTGGCCATTAGTTGAATGAGTGGCGAGCTTCTGCAAACAGCTATTTTGAAAATTTTATCTTGATACTACTTATCATGCAAATTACTACCTGCAAATGTCTGGTGAACGTCTTAAAAATGTTTGGATAAGTGCACACTACTAAGGTGACAGACATAATGTCATTTTGGTACTAACAAGTAGATTTGACACACTCATTAGCTTTACTCATCATCTTTTCTTATTTGTCTGTTAGACATACGTGACACTTACTTTCATCCCATGACTTACCGTGTTATTGTACTCTTTTTTGATGGTTATCATACGTCAAAACAAAGTTTCAGAACCTCAATTTTAAGATATGTATCTTTGTCCTTCTATCTCGCAAAAAATCCCCATTTTTATAGCCCTCTGGCCCATGGACTTCACAAAGTCAATTATTACAAATGATGAGGCTTATGCCATCATGGAACGGCCAAAACCAAGATTATTGTAAATATTATCGTAATGCACCCAGCTTTTCTGCTTTACTCAAAAATTAACAATGTTTTGCATGGCTGGTTGCGTCACACGGATGTTGAAAAGGAAAGTGGTTTGTCCTGCTTGCAATAAACCATTTGGTTTGAAAACAACAAACATGAATCTCCTCTTATTACTTTAAAAAAAGACAGTCGGCATTTAGCATTTATTTAAACAAACTGTTTGTGTCGTATCAACATCCGCTCAAACAGAAAGGTAATTTGGTGAAAAAAAATTTATCGTACTGTTGTTTTGTATAGATGGAATTGTTACACCATTAAATGCTTCAATTAAAAGAAGTCTAAAGTTATTAATATCTTTAATTTTTGAAATATTTTAGCTTTAGATAAAATTTGCAAAAAAATCCACCCAACCAGCCAAAAATATGAATCTCTTTCGTAGTAACAACAACTTTTTATGCTCGATGTTTAATATTCTTCTTGCAAATTGATAAGGTGTTATGAAAAGAAACTGGTGAGTTCAGATTATTAATATATTGATCAAGCCTTGTTTACAGAGAGCAAGTCGTTTAAATTTACCACTTTGCAATACTTCGACAATAATATTAAATGATTCACCTACGAGTTTCCGAAAAATATACCTCTTACGTGTAAAAGGGTTTTACATTCTCGCAAAATTGTCTTTCTATGGCTTTTATCACCTGAGACTTGAGTGCATTCATACCATAATCTAAACTTGTGGTGTTAGTTTTCAAATTTTCAATATCCTTGTCCCTATAATGCCTCATTACGGCCATATTAGTGGGTACTTGGTATGACCTATAGCCTTTCATCATCCATCGCCAAATATGTACGCGACAAGTAACAGTGTAAAGGGGCTTTGCTATTGATTTTGCACGAAGATTACCACCGAGGACACTGTTTGATCTGTTATAAGTTGCAAAAAATCGTGGAACCTTGTACTTTAATTTAGTTTTACCAGGACAATGTATAAATTCAGTTTTTTTGTTTACGTTCCTATGGAAACCCAAGTGTTGAAATGTAAAATGAGCGATTTTGCTGTCCTCTACTTTGAGCATCAGTTCTTTCCATTTCAGACCATTTTTGGGCATTATTACTTCGTCCAAGTCACAAAGTACCAAATACTTAGTCCAAAACATGTTGCGGTAGACGCAATCATGGATGGCCACTAGCAAACCTCTGTTGTAAACAGGATTAGGGATATTGTTACCCCAATTCATTACAGCATCAAGAATTTTAATCTTCTTTGAGTAATAATATAAAAAATTTATTGCTATACTATGGGCTTCATAAACATATATAGTAAACCATGTAGCTCCTAGTGCTTTGTTAAGTTCTATGGAATCCATAATTCCTTGGTCATATTTACCCCCATAGAGTGGTGTCTCATAACAAACAGCAAACTGGTGTTTGATTGATGAGGACTGATCAACTACGGGAACGAAATGTGAGATAGGAATCGTGAGAAATGAAGAAATGTCCTGTGACATCATTAAAGTGACATATTGTGGTCTGTCCACAACAGTGTTACATCTATACATAATTGCTCTATATCTGTCAACTTTAGACTTCCAGAACTCCGCTAAAATGACACGAAAAGCAGGTTTTTTTTCTATGACTCTTTGGTTCCCATTCATTATAAAACCACAGAACAATGCATTGTCGAGTTTGCCCATTTCGTAGCCTAAGACCACCACACTTCTTTTGAAATTTCCGTAACGGACTGTTTGTAAAAAACGCTTATCGTAATAAGATGAGAAAACACTGATTGTGTTTGAAATTCGTTTCCAAGAAAAGGATGAAGAACAATGAACACATTTTTTACTTTGCTTTTTAAGTCGGTTTAAGAAACGTCCACTTTTGCCAGATGTTGTAAAATTTGGGGTTTCTTCAAATGAGGATATTTTAGCTACAGAAACATTTGTAACGTATCCGTTGAAGTATGATTGTTTTTGAAAATTTTCAATCAAAACTAAGACAATGGCTATCAGAAAACCAGCTCTAATGAGACGTCTTGCTTTTTTCTTATAATGAAAAAATAAGGCCATGGCGTCAATTACTATAAAAATAAATCAAGCTTATTGTTCATTCAAATATAAACTACTCGACTTGTAAGATAAATGCGTGATATCTTAAAACACTCAATACTTACTGCTATTTATCTTCTCTGAACAAATATCGAACTGCAACTAAATACAGTGTGGCTTTTGTTCGCGCATTACATACACTCCCAAAAAATCTTAGAACTCTTGCTCCTCTATAGAAAAGATGACAAACCAATAATAGTATCAATTTTACTGAGATATCTAATTAACTTAAATGTAACATAGCATGTATAACATAAACTAACAGCCACAATTTAATACCACCTTAAGAAATTAAAAAAGAGCAACCAATATTAAGCGTCATAAATCAATTTAGTCGTAATATCGACATCATGCTAGATTATTTGTTCTCATTTTAAAGGTTTTGTAATTTTGCAACACAGCATAGAGAAATTTCTAAAAATTTAGTAAATATTAAGCGTCATAAATCAATTTAGTCGTAATATTGACATCATGCTAGATTATTTGTTCTCATTTTAAAGGTTTTGTAATTTTGCAACACAGCATAGAGAAATTTCTAAAAAAAGTTTTTTGTTGTGAAGTATTATCTATTTAATCCCAGCTATCAGGCTTATTTTAACAGCCCCTAAGAGCCTGATTATAACCCCGAGTTGAGCTGACCCTGTTAGCAGGATAGCTCGATGATTTCAAGGGGTTGAAAAGAGCCGAAACTTCAAGGTTAAAAATTACAACTGTTTCCGAAGCACCAAACGTCCCTGTTGTAATTCTCGATATAGGGCAAACTGGTTGTTTCAGTTTTAAATGTTGCGAGAAGTTTTTAAATCAGAATATTGCGAAATTGCTCGAGACGGTTTAACTAATGATAAGTTTGAATCGTTTCCATTTGCCAAAATCATTTCACGCTTTGCTGAATCCCGGCTACCGGGCTCGTGTAATCAGCCTCTCAGACATAAAAAAAATGGAGGTTTGATGAGCACGTTTACAAAAATGGAGGATCTGCAAAGGAGTAACACAATTTTTACCACCTAATATACCAAGATGAGCGCAAATATACATACAACTGCATGTAAACACTTGCTAAAATGCCCATGTTATGTTACATGAGTTATGTTATGAGGTATATGAGGTAAGTTATGTTACATGAGTAACATAACTTACCGGAACGCCTTTATTTACAAACATATATTCATGATTCTGATATACAGATATACATACTGTTAACTTAGCCGTCACGAGAAAGAGTACTGTTGACAAAGGGATTCGAGAGAAATGTCTCAATTAGATTCAGACAGTAAGGATGTACAGTTTCATGATAATGCTTTGATAAGTTACACCGATGAATCTAAAAGATTGATGTCAACGGGTAGGGAGGCTGATACCGAAGAGGAAACTGATTCTTGATACCAATGATATAAGAGGCAAGAGAAAGAAGTAATGTGGATTTTGATGATGTGAAAGAGAGCATTTTGAAGAGGTCTAGAGGAGCAGTCAGGTGAAGATAAAATATATCTAATCATTCTATTAAAATACCGATCCAGAAAGATCTCATCCAGAAAAAATAATGCACAAAATGAAAGGAGTGTAAAGAAAATGATGATTTTAATCCGCCGTGGAAGCAGCTGCTAACAAGAACAATTTCATTAATGACATTTCAAAGAACACAGCTTTGCTGACACTGTCAAGGTTAAAAAAGATCAACTGTGATCAATTAACTTTTGTTACACGAAACTTTATGTTTGTAAAAAAGTAAATGGTTCGAACCCGGGAGTATCGTTACATGTTTGTAAATGTAGATCGTCCAGGTTGGTATAATCCTGAGAAGGACTGTTTTTGTTGTTGTTGACTGACGTTTTGACATCCTTAGCGGTAGTCATCTTCAGAGTCAAATGAGGAGCAAACGTCAGGTTAGCCGTATTTGTTATCTGATTCTTACGTCATTGTTTTGTGTGTACAGGAAGTATGTACTGTCATTGTGAATTAGTGTGAAGTGAAATGTTTTCAGTTGTGATGTGTGATTTATGTGTGATGTTTTTAGTTGTAATGTGTGGGTGTCAATTGTGTATTGTCATTGTGAATTAGTGTGAAGTGTAATGTTTTTAGTTCATCGTTTGTTTGTATTGTGAATAAGTCGTTGTAAGGTGCCGGTAATTGCTGTGATCTGTTCAGGGGTGTTTGTTCAGCGGGGTTTGTTCCGGAAAGTTTATGTTATGTTAATGTTTCAAATTGGGAAAAAATTTAAATGAACTGTTGTTTATATTTGTTTATATTGTGAAAAAACTTTCATCTATATCAAAAAGCCTTTATCATGGTTTCCGTTTCCATCATCTTATCTTGAAATATCATAATCATCAAATAAGTATGCAGCATGTGCGAAAATATTGAAGTTGAGCGTTAAAAATAAGGTAAACAGATGAAATTAGTCGATTCCTTTAGAAGATGATTATATTTTCAGAAAAAGCATTCAAACATCTCAATACAAACTTGTTTAAAGTAATCCAAACTCCCCCAAGGCCTGAGCATGTGCGGGCAATATTTTTGGTGTAAAGAAGACAAACACTTGGAGTTGTTAGTTCTGTTTTCTGTTAGTTCACGGCAAAACTTTGTTTCTTTCGCGGCAATTCCACGCACGTACCTTATTGTTGACAGGCGCATGCGTATACCCTTTAATATACTGATGTGAATTTAGCACAAAAATCAGGCCACAATTGGCGCAGCGCCCGCAGTAAAGTTGAGATTATATGAGAACACAGAAGGGAGATAGAATAATCCCTCCCAACGTCCTATTACATTACGTTATATTTTCTTTTAAAGTAAATGGTTGAACACACGAGTATCGTTACATGTTTCTTAATTTAAATAGTCCAGGTTGATAAAGTCCTGAGAAGGACAATTGAAGTTTATGTTAGCTTATAGTAGTTTGGTCGCTCATTACGATTTGACGTAAAGTTTGCTAGGTGATTAGACTATGACGTTGTATTTTAGAACTTAGTCTACATCAGCTGTGTATTGCGAGTACACAGTGTACGTCGTTCTTCAAATTACAATGCAAAATTGTCTCGCAGTGTAATTTTCATTACCACATTTCTCTTTCCGCAAGCTTTGAATTGCTTAAACCATTGAGTCAATAGAGAAAATATCTGATGAGGTCGAAGAATTTCTTTTAAAAAGGTATACAGAATGACCTGGCAGCTTGGAAAGTGTGACTTTGGCTCATTAAACCGCATGGTACGACTCTCGTCCTCACAGGCATATAGAAACCCAAACAAGTGTGATGTATATAATCTTCTTTTGGGAAATTTTGATGAATATAATGATGATAATGCTCAAATTGCAAAATATGTAAAAAAAAGATCTTGCTGTGGAAAAATACGTAGTGTCTGGTCTAATAAAGAATTTCAACCCGAAACACATTATCCTGAGTTAATTATGCTCTTTACTCCATGGCGAAATAAACATACCTATTTATTAGGAAATTGTTGATGTTCTGAAGAGCAGGAGAATATTTTCATCGTGTTCATATACTACTACATGCGCATACAGGAAAACAGTACATATTACAAAAGGTAACACGATTTACAGTGCCTTGCGTATACCAGCCAGTCAGTCACTAAAGAATTATAAACCGTTAGATTCTGCCAAATTAAACATGATGAAATGCGAACTGGGTTCAAAGTTCATATTACTTGATGAAGTATCAATGGTTGGCCATAATAAGTTCGCGATTAAATTGAATAACCGTTTAAAAGGTTTAAAAGCAGTCAAAGAAGATTTTGGCGGTGTAAGTATAAATACAATAGGTTATTTATTTCAAATGAAGCCTGTGATGGATGGTTATATATTCAAAGATGTTAAGTGTTTAAGTTCTTACGATATTGTTGCTCCAAACTTATGGAGAAAGTATCTCAGAATGTTTGAGCTTGATGAAATCATGCGACAGAAGAAAGCAAGAATTTTGCGCAGACTCTCAATCGACTTCGTGAAGGTAATCACACTCGCAATGACCATGAAAATTTCAAAAAAAGATGCGTTCAAGAGACTACATGTCCTACAAAACCCCACATAAGTTCATCCAAAATGCATAAGTGGATGAATATAATGATAAAGTTTATCAATCATTCAATCGTGCTAATAAATACAATATCAAGGCACAAGATAGCGTCATTGGAGCTAGTTCAGCTGAACTCAAAGAAAAGATAATGAGACAAATACCTCACGTTTCTCTTAAAATATTTGTCTTATTTTGTTGTTATTATCTATGTACATGCAGAACCATAGCCTTGTCATTGAAGCGTTAACAAAGCAGCTTGGAGCTATTTTATACCTGACAAAGACAATAATATCTACTTATCACCAATCAACGTCGTGAACAAGTTGTATAATGTTGCTGGATGTATAAATTCTACATTCCTTCAAATGTATTTTAATGGACAAATAATCTGTAGCCATAATCTGTTATTATTTACCTTATTATAAACAAATGTTTGGGGCTTTTCAGTTTATGATCATTGATCAATCAATCATTGGACCGTTATAGTACACATTGTTTAAGATTTGAGACAACTAATATTGATTAAATGAGAAGCTGTTTACTATAAACTGTGATTATGAGACTTTATGATCCAGGAAGCTTTTTATTTTGACAATTTGACTGTAATGGCATTAAACCTGAGAATTTTACATAGATGAAATGTTGTGGCATGTCACATATTGTCCCCTTTTCTAACTGAACATCTCATGAAGAGATATCAAGGTGTGTTGATCTATGGCTCATACCAGATTGTTTGCAAGAAATTCTTAAGGGCTGCTGATTCATGAAAAGCATTTTCTATAAAGTAAAAATGTCTTTCTATGTATGCAGATAAACCTTGAAATTTGGAAAAACAGCAAGGTATTATTCATGATCACTAGGTAATTTTTCTGATAATCGTTATAATTTCTAAACTAAATTATTCCAGATTTACATTTAAACAAGTTTTGATTATATGAAAATATACTTATTATGACCAGTAAGAATGACACATAAACCAATTTTAACATTCATGTAATTATATGATTAAAGGCATATTGGTTACATTTTGTTTATATTGGCAAATACAATGCTACTGGTGATTGAAATGTAGCACACTTTACATAAACTTACAGAAGATAATAGTCTAGTGAAATGCCTAATAACCATTAATGGCATAAAGCTTTCCTTAATTGCAAATTTTCATTCCGATAATCTTTGTTTAATCTTTGGCAGAAAAAAAATTTTATTTTTTTCTCAAAACGTGAATTTCCTATGAATAATGTTTGAAAAATCCTAGATCCGCCCCTGTCTCATACTGGCAAGAATGATCATATTTTTATCATCGAAATTGCCAAAGAATTCTTTAACGACTTTACTTGTAAATATAACCTATACGTGTCAAATTATTAAGTCATTGAGAATCGATGCATTAAACCGATAACTAAAACGTATACGAATAATCAGCACTATTGCTCGATTTCATTAAATAATAATAACAATCAACCAATCAATTAAAAGTCAACTTTCATATTTAATAAATCATGTCAAATAACATATCAAACTCACATAAGAGATGCATCTCAGCTAGCAGGCCAAGAAGGCTATGTAAATTTTGAAACGGTACGTAAGTACGGACGTAATTTTCACGCAGTTTTGATCGGTAGAAATATTGGACTACGACAGGAATCATTATAGGTTTAAATAGGACCTTATTCCGTCAAATAAATAATGGCTAGATTACCTTCTAAGCTTTATAATTCCAGAAGTTTCGTATCCTCTCTCAACCTCCAGATTTCACAATGCAAATAACACAAAAAATTCTTTGTAATGAGCACACAAACAAATCTCTTTTCCAACTTCATTAATATTCTTTCTCGCGAGTCACATGGCAAGCGAGTTAAAGTGTTTTAATATTATTGGCCGTCGCCTGTGTGTATCTAATTGTCGCGGGTAAAAGGTCGCAGGTAAAGTCGGGTGTAGATAAAAAGCGGGCGCGGACGACGGACGCGGACGACGGACGCAGACGACGGACACGGACGGCGGACGCAGATGTAAGACGAACGTCTGTTTGTTGTGGTCGGGAATTGCAAATGATTTATTGTAGGAGTTTGACAGTAATTTAAACGAGCTTTATCTTTCAGGATATATTTTTTGACCTCATTATTTAAAGCAATTAAACATGCATATTTCAATTTCAGTCAGTCATATAGAGTGTAAAGCAATGAAACCTCATTGTATTTTTTTCGTGCTTTGTCAATAGCATTTCACTCATGTTGGCCTTACGTGCGTGAGCCTGTTCATATTTACTGCACTGAATGATTTCCGTCAACTTGTCATTTGGCAAGCAATACGTATATTGCTGTTTTCAACCTGAACTTCCTTTTGAAAGCTGAGGTTTGAAGCCGTTGCAAGTTAGTCAGTGCGTCATTTACAGTCATGTTTGCTGTAGCTATATGACAACTTTTGATGAATACTAGCCAAACGCATTCAAAAAGCGTTATGATATTTTCCGTCGTAATTTCAGTATAACTTAGAGTCAAATTTAAAATTCTGTTTCACTGCATTCTTTCAGTCATAGCAATAGAAATATCGTCGCTAGGCTAGTTTTCCGTTAATATTTCTAAAGAGCTATATACAAGTTCTTTGTTTATTTGCTTGAATCTTTCTTTTTGCAATGCGTGAGAAACTATAACGCTAGTGATTCATCTATAAAAGAAGGATTGTCTCATGTTTTTCAATATAACTACCGTTCGTATCTAAGGATGCAAGTAATTATTTCTATCACATAGAATTACCTCAGTGACTTAAAGTTAAAACGAATTGTGTTAAAGAAATGTGGAGCAGCAGAGAAGTGGGACCTCAACAAATATTCTTATCTTATCTTTAAAAAGGAAATTACCTGTAGGACATTCTTTGCTTAAGTGCATGCAAAGCTTTTACTTACTTATGGTTTCAATTAATACTTATTTTCTTTATTGTATGATTTGAGTCATATAAGATTGACTTTTTTTAAAATTGGAAAAGCAAGGCTCACCCACGTAGGGCAAACATGAGTGAAATGCCATTGACAAAACACGAAAAAAATACAATAAGGTTTCATTGCGTTACACTCTATATGACTGACTGAAATTGAAATATGCATGTTTAATTGCTTTAAATAATGAGGTCAAAAAATATATCCTGAAAGATAAAGCTCGTTTAAATTACTGTCAAACTCCTACAATAAATCATTTGCAATTCCCGACCACAACAAACAGACGTTCGTCTTACATATGCGTCCGCCTCCGCGTCCGTCGTGCGTCCGCCGTCCGCGTCCGTCGTCCGCGCCCGCTTTTTATCTACACCCAGGTAAAGTCGCAGGTTAAAAAACACTTTTTTTGCACGGAAATTTTGAAAAAAGTCAATGTTAAATTCACAGCGTTCAATCAACGTTCTCAACGTTCCCAACGTTGAATCAACTCTGCTTTCAACATTAAAATATGTCACTGGTGCTTTGGATATTTAAGATTTGTGTTTGCTATACCTATCCAAATATTACTGTCACGGCAACATTTGAATGCAAAAATCTCACGGCAACATTTGAATACAAAAATCTTACGGCAACATTTGAATACAAAAATCTCACGGCAACATTTGAATGCGAAAATCTCACTACCACATTTGAATACAAAAATCTCACGGCAACATTTGAATGCAAAAATCTCACGGCAACATTTGAATGCGAAAATCTCACTACCACATTTGAATACAAAAATCTCACGGCAACATTTGAATGAAAAATCTCACGGCAACATTTGAATACAAAAATCTCACGGCAACATTTGAATACAAAAATCTCACGGCAACATTTAAATACGAAAATCTCACGGCAACATTTGAATACGAAAATCTCACGGCAACATTTGAATACAAAAATGTCACGGCAACATTTGAATGCAAAAATCTCACGGCAACTTTTGAATACAAAAATCTCACGGCAACATTTGAATACGAAAATCTCACGGCAACATTTAAATACGAAAATCTCACGGCAACATTTAAATACGAAAATCTCATGGCAACATTTGAATACGAAAATCTCACGGCAACATTTGAATACAAAATCTCACGGCAACATTTGAATGCAAAAATCTCACGGCAACATTTAAATACGAAAATCTCACGGCAACATTTGAATACGAAAATCTCACGGAAACATTTGAAAACTCACGGCAACATTTAAAAACTCACGGCAACATTTGAAATTCGTACGGCGGAAGGAAAGTGAAGGAAGTTAAATCATTGACTTTTAGTCTAAAAAATATAAAATGGCGGAAAGCATTGAAGAATACGATGTCGATGATTACCATGAAAATCTTGAACAAAGCAGTGAGGAAGAGATCATACGTTATTATTTCCTAAAAGGATTTCCATACAAAGAAATTCTTAACTTAATAAGAAAATATCGCGGTAAGCACATTAGCATGAGTACATTAAAGCGAAGAATAAACCATTTTGGTCTTCGACGAAAAAACAGCCATTATGATATGGACGTTGTACGTGATGCAATTCGTGCTGAAATAGACGGTCAAGGAGGTTGCCGAGGTTATCGTTTAATATCGCATGCCCTTCAAATGAAGGGAATAACTGTACCTAGAGACGTTGTGGCAGGATTGTTAAGAGAGCTTGATCCAGAAGGAGTGCAAGAAAGATCTAGACGCAGATTGAAGAGAAGGATTTATTGGAATCCTGGACCAAATTTTTCCTGGCATTGTGACGGATATGATAAGTTAAAACCATATGGCTTTCAAATCGATGGATGTATAGACGGATGGAGCCGTAAAGTCCTTTGGTTATATGTTACTAAGTCAAATAATCTACCAAGTAATATTGGAGGCTGTGGAACAATTTAATGGCTGTCCTGCAGATTTTATTACAGACCTTGGTACGGAAAATGGCCTTGCTGCTGCCATTCACTCATTTTTTAGTAATGACCCAAGCAGTCATAAGTATGTGTCTTCACCAAGAAACCAAAGGATAGAAGGGTGGTGGTCATTCCTGAGAAAAGATCATGCAAAGTGGTGGATCAATTTTTTTAAAGATCTGGCTGAAGAAGGAGCTGTAGAACTCACCATTCCTCTTAATGTGGAATGCCTTTGGTTTTCTTGTGCAGATTTGCTCCAAAAAAATTTAAATGAAGTAAAAGAGCTTTGGAATTCACATTACATCTGAAAATCAAGGTATGACACTCTACAAGGAAGGCCAAATTCTCTGTATTATTTTCCCGAACTTCAGAAAGGTGAATGTAATTTGATTTTGCCTGTTCTTGAGTCTGAAAGACTATATGATAGAGAGCATATAATATGTGAACATGATGCACCAAACAACTATCAGAGATATTTTTTGTATGTGATGGAAAATTGCTCATTACAGAAACCCCATCACCGGAGGCAAGCTTTAGAATAGTTTGTTACACTAATATGGCATGCAAACATTGTGGACTGAGAATAGCATAGATTTTTATAGACAGCATAACAAATTCTGACTATTTTACTAAGCTTCTTGTTGTTAAAATGAAAACAAAACTTTAACATAAGTGACGAGATTAGTTTCATTAGAGGGCTCTAATTTTAAATTCTCCAGCTTATTAAAAGTTCACGTAAAACAGTTCATTAAAAAATTTAACAAAATGTGAACATATTTCTTTCTCAATTTTAAAATGTCAATCTTCTTTTAATTCGTGCTTTATTAAATGATTGAGCTTTACAATATGCCATGACAAATATTTCTTTAAACTTCCCTGACTCGCACATATGTACAACTGGTATGGTTAGCTCTCTCCCACAAGCTCCAACTAACGGAAAACACGTCGTGTGGTTTGGATTTCTTACAAGGCGATCATGGTCAAAATTTAGAGTAATCGAAGGTTTCTCTTTAGGTAGAATATGTTTATGTCTTTGGCCTGTGAGCCATCCCTTAACACTTTTACAGACATTTCTGGCATTTCAAATAATTCTTCTGTGTTTATGTTAACATTCTCTTCTTCATCATATTTCCAAGCAACCAGGGGCGGATCTAGGGGTAGGCACCATAGGCAAGTGCCTATGGTGAAATTACCAAAATATACTTTGACTTAGATTCGATACGAATTTATCGAATTATGAAACTATGAATAGCACTTTATCGCAGTCAAATCATCTGACTTTTGTTTAGAAATGTTGTGCAATTAAATGACGTAATTTTGATATGAATCGTAGTCCAGATGCGTATGATTATCTATAAAGCTCCGTGTCGTTAGGCAAAGCAGCCATTTTGCCTAAGTCAAGAAGGCGATCTAGCCATTTGATTGGTTGTTAGCAATTTGCCTAAACAAGATGAATTTGCCTAACTTGACATCGTGTATAGGTATTCTGATTGGGCAATTTTTTGCAACCGTATGCTTTCATTGGTCAATTTTTTTTGCCTAACTTGAGCAATTCCAACCAATCATTGCTGTTGATAAGCATAGTTGAGCTAGGCAAATTAGGCAATTGAAAATTAACATACACTCGTATTGTTTCTGAACAGCCTCTGTGCTCAGTTTACGGTTTTGTAATATTTTATAATGTCTTCATTGTGTTGTGGTAATTTATACGAGACTGCTCAGTCTGCGTTGGCCAAAAACGATTTAAAATGCCTTAATGAGCTTTATTCTCGTTTATTGGTCGATGTTCGACCTATGTTTACTAACGAGCAGCTGTTAGATAGAATTTATGACCCCGACCATACTCTGTGTCGAAATTTTGGAGCTGAAATATATGTGCCAAAGCACGCTCATGACGGAAAGACTTGTACTGCAATAAGGTAAATATATTATAATTATATATATCGTATTGTAGTATTTATATATACGTGTAAAATGGTTAAATCTCAA